TCCCTGTAGATGCTGGACAGCCACATGAATGTAAGTAGACTACTTTGCATTGCAATTTAAAGACCCACAAAACATGCATTTCAGTCTGGTTAACCTCCATCACTTTTAAGGTAAAAGGAAGACAGAATTTATGAATCTTTGGGATAACAGTGCAATATTTTACCTCAAAGAGTGTCAATTAAATGGGATAACCAATGCACAATTGTACTTGTGCCTGCTCCAATAACATAAGCAAAGAAAAACATCACTAAAAATAAGTATTAAAAGTATCTAAAGTAATCCTTGGTATAACAGTGCTGGCATTTAACCCCAAAAGAATTTAAACTTGGGATAAATAACATTTTCCTCAACAATATACCCAACACAATTTTAAAGAAGGCACAGAGTAAAAAGGAGAAAGAATAAAAAAGTGCAAAATACAAATGATTGTGAAGAAACAAAGAATTAAAAAGAAGATGAAAGTGTCAAAGCATTTAATGACCAAAAAAAAAGCAAGGTCATTTTTATTTTTTCTGTCCATAAATGAGGCATTTCGCTGACAATAATGTACATTTTCCATATAAAAACTGGGGACTTTTATTTTGAAAAAAAAGTCACTCAGTAAAAATACACAGTAGTCCATATTAATATCATGTAAAACATGCATGCTTAATAAATGTTGTTTAAACATTCATGAACACGTTATGAAGTGGTTATGTCAGATGTTATGAATGTGTTATGCAGACACCCTGTTTAGTGTTAGCGTTTGATGTGACTGTCATTTTGTCTTTTTATGACATTTTTATTGTTGTACAACATGCTTTGTAAATAATGTTACTTACTATCCAAGCAAAATGGGAACACAAGTTCTTTTGGATTAGTAATTTTCTACACGTATTTGTGAGGATAAGAATCTACTTTTCACTCAGCTCTGCTTTACTTACATTTAGTACCTCATTCGTAAGAACAGCATTGAACAAACTTTGGCTCTTATGATAAATGATACCAGATGTATGAAGCTCCACTGCAGTTGCTTTCTGGACCATTTTGATTGCTTTTTTTTAAAGCATCAAGTTGTTTTTTGATAGCTACAATATGTTGTTTGTTAACATTGATGTTAAAAGCAATATGCAAACAAGACACTAACCCATCACAATAATATGTATCATGCGCTATAAATATCCTGACCAATCACAGACATTCCTTGATGCCTTTGGGTGTTTGGACAAATCAAGGCATTCACGTGGTTTGACAAATGTACGGTTTGGTCAAATAACGCAGGCCAGTCTTAAACCTCTTTCTGTAGCCCCCCTGGTGGCCATTTTCTGCATTACACTGTTTTCAGACAGTGGACAGTAACAAAGTAAATGTAATTGGTTACTGTACTTAAGTAGTTTTTTGTGTATCTTTACTTTACTGAGGTATTTCCATTTTGGGTGACTTTTTACTTTCACTGCATTACATTTTAAAGGCAAACATCTTACTTTTTACAGGGTACAGCGGTCACTTTGTTCTGAGCTTGTTTTGACCTGTTGGTCATACCGACCCAGTGCAGCACACGGTTCAACATCAGTGCAGCAGCGTAAAATTTTGGGAGTGTCTATTCAACATAAATGATGAACTAACCTAACTTTGTGTAAATAGACCACAATATAGAAATATGTACACATATGCAGTTGTGACTGACGTGTCTTTTTTCTGAATTTATATAAACACTTTCATTTTATAGTAAATTTGTTTTTGTTAGTTTATGTTTATGAACAGAGACCTACAGATGCAGTTTAGTAAAGGAAAACTCATTTGTGAATCTGAGTTTAAAGCAAGTTTTTATTAAACTTAAACTTGTAAGTTGCAAATAAATCTTAAACTGAAACTTTGCTTGTTCACAAAAAGTGATTTCAGAGCCACTCAGCTCTACCTAATGGAAATTGTTTGCCTTCAGTGTTTTGTTCTTATGATAATTTTAATAGTCATCAGCGTCACTAATTAATGACATTAAAAGACTGGTTTACCAAGAGTGACACTGCAGCATTTTCACCTAAAATGAGTTAATGAAGCAGAGTCTTGTTACAAAATTGGTAATAGGACATTAAAGACATTAATAGGACACTAACTAATCTTTTAGTATTTTACTTTCGATACTTAAGTACATTTAAAGGCAAATACTTTTGCACTTTTACTCAAGTGGAGGTCTAAAGGGAGGAACTTCTACTTTTACTGGAGTAATATTTTACCTTGGGCATCTCTACTTTAACTCACTGTTGTCTCCCTGTGTGTGAAATAGATTGAGCTGCTAGTGAGCAATGAAGGGGCGAAATGTTGACTCACCTACAAAGACGAAAATCCAGATCGCTACACATTTCCATCGAAATATATTCCATCAGTGTTACTGAACAAAAATATGCATAGCACTAAAAGTGAGGGACCTCCAAAACAGGCAGAAATTGCATTTCATGTCTCCTGTGAAAAGAGCTTAACTGTGTCACAGGAAGGCCTCATGGCTGTTTTTTATATATCTGTATCATGATGTAGCAACATAATGGCAAAGTAGTGTTCTGTCCTTATTGTGCAGCCCTGATAGCTACTTTTACTTCCACTTCAGTCATTATTTCATTGATGTAACCACACATGTACTTGAGGATGGTCTCAGCTTCTGCTGCGTTCACTGCACACTGTTTTCAGTGAGAAGGTCATTTCAACTCTTCAAAATGATACTCATTTTACCATCTAACAATCACCTTTAGATATTCTAGGGAGCCCATATCCAGGTGAGAGTACAGTGGACAGTGTTTCACCATAGTGTGAGGGATGATGGGTTTTGCTCAGACTAATACCAGTGCTGAATGTTGAATAAGCCACGTACCAGCATGGCAGAAAGGGACGGACACATGGACAGAAAAAGAGCAGTAAGTGCTTACATGGCACAGAGCCAAAATAAAAAATCTAAACCAGTCCTCCATTTCATCTGCAGGGACACAAAACAAATTGAAGCTGGATGCCACAAATTGGGGCACTTCAGCTTTAAAGCAGCAATCAAACATTTTTCAAAATGTAACCCATGATGCTCAGAAATCAAGCCAAATCAAGGAGGTACAGTACTGTGCAAAAGTCAGAGAGCACAGTCAGAATGGCCATCAAGGACAAGTTATTCATTTTACAGCATGAGGAACAAAGCAGAAACACATATTTATAAAATTACACCGAAGCCTCAAATACTAACTATGCTATATATTTTTTTCAGTATTTACAGTGTCACTCTTTACCGTCATTACAGCTTCCATTCTTTTCAGGAGACTCACTTTCAGTTTCTCAAAGAAATTTGTACAAACACCTCCAAAGTTCAGTCTTAGAAGTTAGTTTCATTGGCTGCATCTTACAAGCCAGGTAAAAGAATAAAAATGTACACAGTCTATACAACCTTACTCCACATCTCAGGTGTCCAGTTTCGCTGTGCATATGTTTTTCTTTTTTGTCTAGACCCAATAGCGCTGAGTCGTCTTCTCACAGTGGAAGGATGGACAGAAACACCTGTGGATGTTTTCAGATCTGAAGCAGCTTGATTTTCTCCTCTCTCTCAAAGATGAAAGTGCTGTTTATCTGATGGGGACAGTTTTGGTGTCTACCAGGTGGTTGTTAGGAGTCACATTTTCTCTGCAGCTTTTAATCATTTTTGAACTACAGTTTTGGAAACACTTGGTTTACTTATTCCCTTCATTATGGAGGTGGATGCAGAAAAATGGAACTTGTACTGAATAAATGTTTTTTCCCCAACTTTTCTTTTTATAATCTATATAATCTATATACTGTTGTCACATGAAGTATTTTAAAACTGCTTATAAAAGACACCACACACACACACACACACACATATATATATATATATATATATATATATATATATATATATATATATACATACATATACATACATATATATATACATACATATACATACATATATATATACATACATATACATATACATACATATATACATACATATACATATACATACATATATATATATATATATATATATATATATATATATATATATATATATACACATACATACACACACATTTTGTCTGTTTGTATCACTTCCTGAACTCCACAGCTAAAAGTATTACAAACTCTTTACCTAATTAAAAAACTACTATGATGTCTCAGCATGGCACCTGCAGTGCACCTCCACTGGCTGCTGTGTTTCCTCCTGTATGAAGAGTGGATGGCTGAGCAGTGTTTCATCGCAGCATGTGATTGAGCAGCTCCGTGTCTCCCCATGCTCCTCCCGTCACCATGGAGACATGGGGTCACGACCCCCACCGCCTCACCCATGACACTCCAGCGCTGACAAATTTCCACAATCAATAGCAGCTGTCAGGAGAACACGGGGTTACGGCTGTCCCTGTCAACAGGGCCGATTAATTCCAGCCACTGACAGCAACCGGGTAATTAATGGACTTGATCAATCAGAGCTGGCATTAAACGCTGGCACTGACAAAACGTCCTCAAACATCTCCATCCGTGGAAAAATTAAAAGTGATTTGGATGCTGCATTAGGCACTACAAACGTCAAAACATATACTATGATTTTACCTCCCTGTGCTTTGGCATCAGAGAAATTCGGAATTTGGATTCACTCATCAAAATCTCTGTACAATTAAACAAATCAAGATGTGAACAAAGATATTCAGAGTAGTTTGACGTAAAATGGACCACTTTAGAGAAACTTATCAGAATTGTTCCCAGTGGTGGTGATAGAAACCAGACATCTGCAGAGTTTTAGGTTTCTAAAAATCTCCGTCAAAGAACGTTATTACATGAAATATAGTTGGTTTTGGCCTAAAACAATATTAAAACCCATTGATGGTGGAGGGGTACGTGCATCTCTCTAGAATGGACCATTTCACATCAAACCACTCTGAATGACTCTGTTTACACCTGAACTGAATTATGCAGAAACTGAAAAGCCAGTGGAATTCCCCTTTAACAAGGGAAGGACGAACAGAGCCATCAAATAAAAATCTTGCAGTTTTATTTGCATATAAAGTTGGCTAAATGACATGATGAATATTAAAAAAAGCCTCACGAACATGAAAACGAAGCATTTACAATGGCACCAATGACATCTCATGGCAATATAATAGCTTTTTTTCTGTGCGCTAGCGAGATTGCAAGTCCAAACAGTGCAAAATACAACAAACACATTAATTACGACCCAACTAAAGTCCACCAAATTGGAATCAGGGAAATCATATCAACTTAACTGGCACATTGTGACTGTAAACATCTCCTCCAGCTTTTGGCCAAATTAACACATGGAGCCTTCGTAGAAATGTGTGTTCTGAACACAACTGTATTCCTGAAGGTCTAATCACAAAGAAAATCTGACCTTATGGAAATGTTACACTCACTGCACTGCTATGACGTATTACAAGCAACGCAGAAATAAAAATGCAAGAAACTGTTCCATTAGAACTCAACAAGTCCATAACCCTAAATCACTTCTGCCTCATGAAGTACCTTGTCACTTAATCCATTCCCCTCCAAATATACAGTGGGAATAAACGTTTCTGAGGGTGGCGCATGGCTTGCTTTACAAACAAGATGCATTCTCTTGACAGGATAAAAGCAATGTGTTTGATTGCACAATAAATATATTAAACCATGAAGAGTCTTGGGTGTCACTACAGAGATTTTAGCAATGTAAATCCTCAAATTAATGTCCAACACTGGCTTCAGCTCTAAAACTGCACAGGATCGAAATGATGGCCTCAAATATTTGATCCCATGCTGAGTTTACTAAGCAGAACACAGTAAAAAAACAGTCAAGTATTGCTGAGCCGTTCAGGGTACCTTTTTATAATGCACTTTCATATCCAGGCTAAAAGGAACTGAACAAGGCAACCAATACAAATGAGCCATAAATATGAATCCACATTTTTTTTTCTTTTTCCAGCAAATCATTATTCAAATGGCATGATCTTAAACTTTTTAAAAATATTACATATCCATGCATTCATTTTTTTTTTTTTAAATACAAGCAGTACAAAAAGGAACATTAAAGATAAGAAGAGTTGTAAAGTAGAAAAAAGTGGCTGATTCAGGGGGAATTTCAAGAGCTTCCAGGGTTGGGAAGGTCGAATATGATTGGTGGGTTGGTGGGCTGGAAACTGACTGTACATGTTGAAGAGTTGATGAATGTTGTAAATCCATCTGTCATGAGGCCATACCCTACAGAGAGGGAGAGAAAGTATGATTAATATGAGCACATATTCCCATGGTAAAGCTGCAAAGGAAGGCCTGGTGTTTAAAGGTAAAGGTAACATGAATATGGATCATCACAAGAGTTTTTCACTGCTGATAGCCATACACAGAGCAAAGGTGTGCTAGCAATAAGGGAACAAATACACAATGCTTCTCTAGTTTGAATTCCCATCAAGTTCTGCCTTTTCCTGCCATTCATCAAATGTGTCTATATCACAATCCATCGCAGAAAAAGTTTAAGTTGCCAGAGTGTCAAAAGGCTGGAAGGACCTGTGTTTAACAAAGGAATTTTTTATTTTGATAAGTAAAATTGGCCAAACTAGGAGCCACAGCATCACCCTACAGCCCCAGGTGGTGCTGCTCTGTTTACTGGTCGTACAAGAAGTCATTCAATTCACTAACAATTTAGTCCTGAGATTTCAACCAGCAACCTTTGTTAAATGTAACATTTTTAATGGCACTTTAAATGTAATTTAAGACCAAAACGTCCGTGACTATCAGCCTCAGCATCAGGTCTCTAACAGCACGTAACATTTGAAGCAGTAAATGTGTATCGTAAATTATAACACATTCTCCTTCTGCACTGTAAAAATACAAGGGCATGTATTTTCGATTTGAAGAATACTAAATACTCAGTACTCTTTAATTTTTTGTGAAACATAATTTCAGACCAATTAAGACATTTAAGGACCCACAGAAATGCTTTTCACTTGAGCCAGGCGTACACTGTGCGGTTTTAGCCCGTTTTAAGCCCGATTTGGCCTGAGCCGACAGAATTTCAGCTTCATCAGCCGTCGTTTGCCATGCAGTGTGAGAAGGGAAATGATGCCTGATTAACTGCCCAAACGAGCTCCGACTGAGCAGTCGGATGATAGGATGGATTTCTGACATGTCAGAAATTTTGGTGGCTTGTTTCACAGTGTGAGCAGCCTCACCAACCGATTTCTCAAAGTTGCACCCAACAGCCTTGGGACGGTAAACGATATCATCGAATATCGCGATAATTTCAACCCGTGATGATATGAAGTAAATTATCGTTTTATTTTTTTTATGTACCCTTGCCACATAACTTTCTATTTTTTTGTCGTTCTTCTTATTTAACCATTGATTTTGTACAAGCTTTCTAATCTACGGTAGGTTAAAAATTTAGACCTAAGCTATAACAGAAAAGACGGCATTTAAGTATAGACCATGCAAACATAACTAATTAATTACAAATATACGTTTTTAAAACACCACTTGAAAAGATTAGAATGTAGCGTTTCAGTCTGGCAAAGAATGCTGGGTATATGCAAATGAAACACTACATGTGACCGTCTGCCTATACGGTGAAAAATGGATGAGCTTGTACAGAAGAAGGGTGTTAGCACACCTGTTTGGCAATCTTTTGTTTTCCAACCAGACGAACACGGAGAACCGTTAGATGTTAACAGTGTTACATGCCGTCTATGCAGAAAACTGATCATCACCAAAGGTGGCAATACAGACCTTGAATCCACAGTACGAGTTGCCAAGCTGTAAGTACTTCAGCAAGACAGCGGCGCCTGAGATGTGTAATAATGTTAATTGTGCATGAAACAATCTAGGTTGTTAAAGACTATAATCATAATAATAATTATATAATAATATAATTATTAATAATATATAATAATTAATAATATATAATAATAATAATAATAATTATTATTTGTAGCACGTCATGCGCTACCCCGGGCTCAAGGAGGACGCTGGAGGCAGGAAAAACTTTCGCAGCAGCCATTCCTTTAATATTTGCTTCAAACTCACACAAAATAAACTTAACAAAACCAACGATATGCTTGCCACCTTTCCGTGGCTTTCATTAGCCAAACTTCAGTCTTTTTCTTACTTAAGCTTTTCAGTTCTTCAGTCAGTCTCTGTGGCTGCTGCTCGTCCCTCTCTCTCGCTCTGCTCTTTTTAAAAGACGCTCATATTAAGGGCAGCGTGACCACCCAAGCCAAGAAGGAACGAGAGCTCGCTGCTCCACCTCCTCGTCACCTCCGCCAGCTTGCAGCTCAGCCGCCCGCTGCAGAACAAGGAGCGGGGCCCGGGCAGCAGAGCTCAGGACTCGCTCCTTGCTCTCGTGCCTCTCGTGTCAGGCACCGTCATTCTCCTCCTCCCGCCGTCACTTGCGTGACTCAATTCCCTCAGCGGAGCTTGGGCTTAGAGGTCCACCCCCGTCCACCCCCCCCCCAATTCACTGTGAATTCATTTTTAACACGATAACATAATTTATCGCGATAATTCTTGAGACGATAATCGTTTGTCTAAATTTACATTATCGCCCAAGCTGAGCTGAGTTAAGAGTTGAATAAATAAATACAGTGTTTTTTTGTCTTTATTTTTGTCTTTGTTCTTCAGCTACAGTGCACAGTGTGGCACAAGTTAGCAAAGCTGCTGTAGTGGTTTGTCCATGGCTGAATCTCAAACGGCCCCTCCTTCCTATGTAGGACACTAAGTTCTGGCTTCTACACCAAAATAGTGCACTGTTTGTCCAGTATGCACTGTCCACACATGGCTGAATCTCAGAAGGCTACTTATCAAACATGTGATGCAATTTATGGGTACAAGAGCAGCTATTTTAATATGTGGTGCACTATATGTAGGGAGCAGGAAGCCATTTGAGATACAGCCAGTATTTTGATTAGGACATCGGAGGCGCAGCGTGTTGTTTTTAATGAAACAGATTTATTGTAGACAGATCGTCTGTAGGGGCTGCGTTTCACGTGCAGTGTGAGCACCCGTGTCGCGTCGGGTCAGTTGGGCCGAGAGTTTTCGTACAGTGTGAGTATATAAATCGCAGGCTTTGGCCGTAAACGATGGGCAATTCACACGTACAGTGTGAGCTGTCACCAAAGAACAAGATTTCTGTAAGTGTATACCTGGCTTTAGCATTACGTTACCTGCCTATTGGGCTATTCATACCACCTACCATCTTTCTGGAATACATCACCTAAACTCTTCTTTCCTACCAAACTATAGAGGTACTGACTGAGTGTTCCTGTTCCAGGACCTTCATATGTCTGGAAGGCTTCGTTTAAAGTCACAAGAACATTCCAAGTCAGGCAAGGTGAACACTGAAAGTGATCCTAACAGTGATGTTTAAAACCAAAAGTCAAATGTTCAGGTGTCCTATTAACTTTAAGCTTGGCAAACAAACAGAACCTGTTTTTTTTTTTTTTTTTTTAATCAGGCAAGGAGGGGGAGAGAACTCACCTTCATGGATCCCCCCGTAGACGTGGAGCTTGGGTCGGACCCGTCTCTGTACCGTGTTGAGAAGCTCCACACAGCCAACTCTCTGG